TATATATATATATTAAAAAAGTGACTGTTTTTGTGAATGTAGGTGACTTATGTATGTTTTAAATATATCAACATAATCGAAATCTAATCTCATATGAATTGACTTTCTAAAATGATTACCAATAAAATCCGACTTGAAAGGCTGGATCCGAATAATTGTGATGGATTAAATTTAATTTCTTTTTAGGGAAAAATCAAAATTTTTCCTAAAGTTTAAAAAAATATGTAACTGAAATTAATAAAATATAAGAGAAAGCCGGATGCGATAGTGACGCGCACTTAGGGGAAACCAAGTAGGTGGAAGACGGTGACCAGGTTTGCCTTCTTCCATTCGCGGTGGCTTTTGAATCCGAGCACGATGGCGACCAAAAGGCAGCGACAAAAGAGCGCAATTTGGGAATGAATGGAGCGCCTAGATGCATGCCACGTCGGCTTTTGCTTGGTTCCTTAGATCTCCCACCGCCAGCCCCTCGAGGAAGCTTCTCAATCAAAGAACTCTTCGCCAGCTCTAGAAGATAGCGGAGAAGACAAAAAAAGCAATTAAGAAAACGACTCGTCTTCTTCTCTTAATCTCTACACATTTCCCACATCTCCCCACAACTTGAATAAATCTAGACTGCCACAGATATCCATCTCCTTGCCGGCCTCCGATGAATTTTTATCAAAGTTAATCAACTGCAGCTGATGGAAGAGGGGAGGTTCGGCGGTGGAGTGTTAGACGTGAAGCTTTGGTCTGGGTGTTGCCATTGGATTCTTATGATCTTGTTCGGCTTTTACTGCTGGAGCTGGGAGTTTTTGACTGCTCTGCTTGTATTCTCGTGCCTTTGATAAGTAAAAAAGTGATTTTTATTGTTTTTCGGTGGGTTTTGGTGGTGGTTTGAATGGTGATGGTGTCGAAAGGGAAGCAGAAGGAAGGTGGGGGAAGGAGCGCGGGTTCGCCGGCGCCGTTTCTGATGAAGACGTATCAGATGGTGGATGATGGAGAGACGGAGGAGGTTATATCGTGGGGTGAAAAAGGGAACTCTTTTGTTGTGTGGAAGCCGGTCGAGTTTGCAAGAGATCTGCTTCCAGTTCACTTCAAGCATAACAATTTCTCCTCTTTCGTTCGTCAGCTTAACACATATGTAAGACCCCCTCTCTCTCCCTCTCTTCTCTCTCTGAAGATAAACTTGAGTAGATATTAAAAATAAAAAAAATAATAATAATAATAATATCACTTAATTTTAATGAAATATTAAATAAAATTTTTATCTTCTATGCAAATTATATGTGCTGCTTTTTCCTTTCTGCTTAGGTGAGGCGTCATCTTTGGGAAAAAGTATTCCATACGGATGGCATATACAAAGATGCATGTGTCGTCCTATCTCCACCGTTGATCAGATCAAAGTTGTATTTCGGTGTACCCTTTTTTTTTTGTACCTATTTTTTTTAAGAAAAAAAATTGATAAAAGCTCTGATCAATGGTGGAGATCGCACGACACATGTATCTCTGATCTCTGCGTACGTCATCCGTATGGAATAATTTTTCCATCCCTTTGTATGCGTTTAGATGCTCTGATTTGTAGTTAAAATTATGATTATTAATTTTAATGATCAAATTATGGAGCTAATGGTTAAAGAAATTACGAAATAAAATCTTAAGTGGAAAATTTAGTGGTCCTTGTAGAAGTGGGGAAAGCTTGGCTGTGACGAACAATATAAATTTTAAGCTCGAGTAAATATTATCTCACATGACTTGATCGAGCACCGAAATTTGTATAAATTATCCAAGAGAACAATAATAATCGTGATTTTTGTACAATTCGTATTAGAGTGAGATTAGTTTTACAATAAATGTATTTAATATATCACTGGTCAACTCTGTTCAATATAATTAAATTTTTAGTTATTACTATAAATTACTTTATAATAAAATTAAATTTATGAAATTATAAATAAACCATTATAGAAATTTTGTTATATTACACTTAGTAATATTAAATAATTGTATTAATAGATTGTCATAAACTAAATTATATATATATATATATATATATATATATATCGTAGCGGCAATTTAAAACATTGTCAGAATTTTTGAGAGAGTATGCTTGTGTTTTCTACTTATTTTTAATTTTTATACTAAGATTTGAATTAAATATTTTAATCATGTACAAGCTTGAATATTTATAAATTTAATGTAAGTTTCTTATAGGATGATTAGTCATCATTCTGAGTTCAAATATGTAAAATCGGGTGTAAATCATATGTGGTTGGTAAGTTTTGTTTCTCAATCTCACCAATTCAATTTCAACACACACATTGATTTTTTCTTATTTTAAGTGCGGTATATTATTACACATAATGTCATTAAAAAAGTAATATTTTTATTTGCTCATTTAATTTATATTTTTATTATAGAATATTAAAACATGCCATTAACATACTTCTCCTTAAATAGATCTGGCAGCCATCACGCATGTTACTTCTTTTTTATAGGAATAATTATTCTCTTACTAGTTTTTAATAAGTTAAAATTAAAATTTTATCAAATTATTTAATTTATGGTAATTTAAATATCATTAAACATTTGAAAATATTAAAATAATGTCTAGATATTTGGAAGCTCTCCTAGTATATTTCATCAATTAAAGTCATTCAATATATGCAAGATCTCTTCACAAAGTTATTTATTTAACTCCAACTTATTAAATAAAATATGAACACTTGCAAAATGCAATTACAATCCTCATTCCCCAGAACCAGTCATTTCAAAGGAAATTTCTTTTATTCAATTGATGATAGAATAATCTAAGAATATTATTAAAATTATGTCTTTATTTCACTGATAAGCTACAATTTTATATTTAAATTTAATATCATCACAGAATAATTTTGAAGAACTTTTTTTTTTTGGGAGGAAATTATCTCATGCATACAAATTTTTAATTAGTTTTTTGTTATATTGGATAATATTTGCAAATAGTGGCCATAAAATGCGTCAAACCTGAGAACTTGAATAATTATGAATCTTGGTTTGTTTGGGGCAACTGTAGCTTTTTGAATAATTTACTGATAAGCTAGGTGGGATGGTTATTACAAATTTTTATTTTTTTGGAAAAGCCAGGTGTGTTTTTAAAACGTCACTGCACTAAATAAGCTGCCCCAAACTGCCAATCTATGTGCTAGCAGAACCGCGGCTTAAAATTATAAACTAAAATTTTCTTAAATAGATCGATAAATATTGTTCTAACAGCTTGATTAATTTGACTATTTCTATATAAATCATATTTATATTTTTAAATAAATCAAACTTAAGGTATATTAGAAATATACCAGAAACGAGTAATTTGTAGATAATGAATAAGTCAAATAAAGCACACACTACAACAATTAAGTATCACATAAGCAATGACTTTGAATTCGGTGAAGCACCAAATTTTCTTTTCTATTTGTTTGAGAGAGACAGAGAGAGAGAGAGAGCTGTATTTTTAGTTATGTATTATTTTCTTATCACATGTTTTCTATTTTATAATTGTTATATTATAATTATTATTTTAGTCGGCATACAATATTATTAGTTCCGCAGGGTAGGCAAATTTGGAATGCCAACAACTTTGACCTTTGATTGGTAGACAAGTTTGCAATGCCTACAACTTTGACCTTTGATTTGTTTTAGTTGATTGGTAGTAACTTTTCCTTATATAATATTGGCTAACTGGGATGGATTGAGTTCACACTGCTATTAGTTTATTCGTCCTATTGTTATAATATTCAAGTTGGTATCTACAGAAGAAATTGGGCTGACAATGGTTTTTTTTTTTTCCGGTCTGTTTAATTTCTAGAAATAAATATGATTTAGAAGTAATTAATTTATTAAATTACATTATTTATTTGAATGTAATCAGAAGATAATATAGATTTTAAATCAAAGAAATATATGAAAAAAAAATTATAAATATTCATTTCTTAAACATAAACGAAATGGAAAGAAAAAAAAAAACTTATCTTTTAAAAATTCATCCATATGCAAAATAAAAAAATAAAATTGATGAATTCCATTTAATCTTTTGTTTTTCTTGTGATCAACCAACGAAAAGGTGTGACATGATAATTGATTAACATTTGGATTAGATTGATTTATTGTTTTTAATTTTAATTTAAGATAAATACATAACATAAATAATTGATGAACACAAAAATTTAATAATTTATCATAATAATACTTTTTACAAATTTCGTTTAAAATCAATTACTATTGAGTTATGATCATTTTTAAAATCAAATAACTATGGCTATGTTATAAATAATAAAATTTTTTGAAAGATTTTTTTAATTTCATTTTTTGAGATGATTTTAAAAATTTTAATCACATTTCTTCAAGAGTGCGATTATTATTTACATATGATGGAAAATATTTTTGATTAAAAATAATTTCTGATAACATGTCGTATAAATAAAATAGTCATAAGATTTGATAATATGTTGTATAAATAAATAGTCATAAGATCAAATTTAAGTAGATTAATAAAAAAAAAGTATGATTGAATTGTATAGTTTGTATGACAACACTTTAATTTTTCAATCTTAAAAGTTCAGATAAATTATTATATTAATATTTTGTAAGTATATTTTATGTTATTAAAACATAAATTTTTCATTACTCGTTATCAATTATCATGTCAGACAGCCCTTCACCTACCACTGATGAACTCCTCTCTCTCGATGGGCAACCCAAGGCCCACCATGCCTACTTTACCTTCACTAATTGTTTATCTTTCTCTTAGAATTCTTCTTTACAATATTCTCAATCAGTATTTTATAGATCATAGATCATCATTTTTTTAAATCATAAAAGAAACTATACTAAAAATAATAAATCTATGTAAATTCATATCAATGGTGTGGTCTATCTGTAAATTTCTTTAATATATTAATACGATTATCTGTTAAAATATAGCGCATTTACATGCATATCACAAAACTCTTTTGTATTTATTTATTGCGCAACCAAACTTTCATATTTACACATATACCATTTAAATTTTTAATATTACCTTAAAAATAGAATTATTATCTTCTTTTAAAAGCAAAATACAAGAACCAAAGTACAATATATGTATATAAATATGAAAATTTAGGTATATGATATGCACATACATAAGAATTGTAAGTAAATTTAACAAAAAAATAAAAAAAATAAAAAATTATATGATAAGGCCTCTCTTAAGATTTTGTTATATTCTTCGTAAAAAGCCAGCGACTGATGGCAGGCCCGGTGCTTGATGAAAGCAGGGTTTCCGCAAGGTGGTGGCGGACCGATGGGAGTTCGCCAACGAAAACTTCCGGCGAGGAGAGCAAACGCTCCTCTCCTTCATCCGGCGTCGAAAAACCTCATCCCTCAGACACCCGCTTCCATCTTCTACATCCGGTCAGTTCTCCGCCGAGATCCAGCACGTCTCTTCCTCCACCTCCTCGTCCTCGACGCCGCCACCGCCGCCTCTACACCTTCTGAACCTCTCCAGCGAAAACGAGAAGCTTCGGAAACAGAACAAAATCCTGAACTCAGAGCTTGGGCGGGCCAAGCGGCATTGCGACGAGCTCCTGTGCTTTCTGTCCAAGTACGTCGATGTCGCCCAGCTAGACCTTGGGCTTCTAATGAATAGGGCTATTGACGCTGAGGCAGGGGAAGAAGTAGTGAGCGAAGAAGAGGAAGAAGTTGAAGGGAAAAAAGAAGCATCTTTGAAGCTATTTGGCGTTCTTCTCGAGGTTAATGATAGTTGTGGTAAGGTTCAGAGATCTAGAAAGAGGCGACGTTGCGAAGTCACCGGCGGAAGGATTCCGGTGGGCAGAGGTAGCGACTTGAGCCACTTAAGCTAGTCTTAATATGGGAAATTTTTGTATCAGAACCTCCTCGCAGATATAAAAGAGAAAATTAAATCAGATATTCTAATTTAAATTTAACTAATATAAAAATTATAATGATTTAATTTATTTTGAAGGTTGTGTGATACACATTAATTTAAGTAAGTTTTGTATTACACTAAAATAAATTAAATGTAGTTTTTATACTAATTAAATTTGATTGAAGTTATCCTGATTTAATTTTTTTCTATAAGTTTGCAGATAAAGAAAACAAAAAAATATATATATAAAAATAGAAGCAGGGCTTTTATTCTGCTTTTTATATTTTTATCAGAATTTTTTTATTTTCTTATCATATCCTATGTTTAATATAGAGAAAGCATATTCGAATGGAGGAGGTCTGATATAATTATTTTTCCTGGATGTGCCCTTTTGGACAGCAAAAAAAAAAATGAATATATATTTATATAAAAGATAGACCTCATAGTGATAAATGCTAAAATACAATTATCACTGCAATTAGAAATAATCTCAATTTTCCAACTCTTGGAATTAATTTCACTGCAGTTTGAATGATGATTCCTCCATTGTCAATATGATATTTTGTTGTTGTATAGAAAAAATGAAGTTGATCAGGATATTAGGGTGAATGCGGGAAAGAAAATCAAGATGGGGGATTTCTTCTCTGTATTCTTATTTTATGCGATTAGTACAGAAAGGCTTGTTTAAGCGGGCAACGACTTGAATTTTCGGTTGGATTTATTGTTTTGTTCGAGTCTAACTCTGTACGCAAGGATTTATAAATTTTTTTTGGGTAATTAGGGCCACTGCCAACAAAATTTAATTATAAAAATAAAAAATAACAAGGAAAGGAAATTTAATTGTAAAAATAAAAAAGAACAAGGAAAGGATCAAGACTTTTTAACAAAAGAAAATATGAGTCGTAGAGTAAAAACTGAGAAAACAAAAAAGATATACCTTAGGAAAGCAAAAAGATGATATATTTACTATGAAAAGCTACGTTTAGCTAAATACCTAATATTCGAAAAATAGAGCACCAACAAGTAGAGGGCATAAGACCAAGATATAACTTTTCAGCTTAGAAAACATACCTGAGAGAAGAAAACAAACAAAGATATCCAAGCATCTTTTTTTGTACGTTGGTAGGTTGAGCACATAACTATTGCAGTATATCACATCATTGTTCTCCAAAATGCAAAGAGTGAAAATAAAATCAGAACTTCCAACCATGAAATGAAAATGCCCAATAGACTTCCAGTTCCAAAATCCAACATTCGTAGGCAGTCCAAATAACATTGCCAAGAGGAACAAAACATTTTAACAGCAAATAACCAAGAGCATTAATTTTATCCAAATAAAAAATATGGCAACCAGGACCACCCAGAAAGGAGAAATATGATAATGGAAATAAGCTAGTAAGCAAAAGACGCGAATCCATAAACAGAAAGGAAAAGAATTCACAACAAGAATTATTCATAGTATATCATAACATAATCCGGCCAACTAACAGACAAATCCATCAAAATAAAGGAAAGATATGCACAATAAATCTTAGAAATGAGAGCGTAGTGTTAGAAATTCCATCCAGATTGCAAGATTTCACTCGGTTGAATTTCCCAAATGTGCGAGAACATTAGCCGAAACCAGATATTGCATATATTATAAATAAAAACAACAACAATACAATAATAAGGAATTAGCATGAAAGCTAGAAATGTGATTCAACATAGTCTTCTCTTTAAAGATAAATTTTATGAAAGTGGAAGCATTTTTTTCCAACCAAACATAAAGAAAAGTAACTTTTATGTCAAAAAGATAAATTCTTGGAAATATTGTAATTTAAATAGTATGTAAGTGAGAAATACTGCTAAAAGCTACACCCCATATGAAGTGCAAAGCCAAGAGAAGAGGATAACTTTAGCAATTGAAAGGAGACAGGGTAGCAAAAAATAGTTAAACATGTGTTTCATGACTATCTTTACATAGGATGCAAATGTTTTGTAAGTTACAAAATTTAGATATCAATACATCAATATTCAAAAGTTTATTTTTAAAAATTTTCCAAGTGAAAGTTAAAAAATTGAGAGAATATCCTTTAAACAATATAGATCTGCACCAGGACAAAACAGGGGATTCAAAATAAAGGAAGTTGCAAATCTCTCTACTGAATATAACATGCTTGTCCTGCCAAGTGCAGTTAATGGTAGAATCTATGATTGGAGTTGAGAATGAGGTTTGCCATTGAGAGTTGCTTAATGGTTATAGTAATTGCCCAATTATTAAAGGATATATAAAATAATAACAACAACTATTCACGCTATCTTATGTTTGTCATGTGGACCATAGGAAAACCCACACTGTGTCTAGGAGACATCTACCCTTCCCTTGGATTTTAAAGTTTAAATTGATAGAGTAGCTCTTCCACCTATAACATTGGATTTTTAGTGCTATAAATGTGTTAGATATGTAAATACATAGGAGTTGGCTAATATGACAAGAATTATCATTTTGTGGCTACAATGAATCATCTAAATCAATTAATTATGGAATATATTTAGAACTACTTCATTTCATTGTGAATCAGAATGAAAAAGTTTGTCCCCCCTCTCTCCCGCTTATAAGAAAAACATTGGTTCTGCACCCACATGTGGTATAACATAAGGTGAAGGTAAGCAAACCCCTTTAGAAGCTTTGTTTTTCCTCACCCACCTTATCAATTACAATATGTGCAGAAGGGGGAGTGTTAACAAATTGTTGTATGGGAGCATTGGGCTCGTGAAACCTTTCCCTGGTTTTCTCCCTTTTCTGATTTTTCTTCTATTTAGTTTTACACTTATTACAAAGGCCTTCATGGTATCAGAGCCTTGAGCACAAGACGATTTGAGCATCCTCACTCATTCCATACAATAGCTCAAGGTGATTCGAGATATCTTCTCTAATCAGCTTCCTCAACTTATTTGATGATAGTGTTGCTTCTGATGTGAAGCTGGCCTCCATGAGACCGCTGGTTGCATAAATCTGATTACACTAGATTTATCTCGTTAGGCAATGCCAGCTTCCCAAACTTATGAAATTTGCAGCTCAACTTCGAAAGATTAGATTTCTTTCACTCCAATCCCTTCTTCTCTCAAGATCCTGATAAGTAATCTTTAACACCTTATCCAAACCCCATGATTAACAGAAACCTATCCTATGTGAAAGGGACAGGTCCTCAAAATATTTACTGCAGAGTTTTTGGATGGCAGCACCATGCCCTCCTCAAATTATTGAGAGAAATGTAGAACCACTGGCTCCCATTCCAAACAATGCCTCCTGGAACTTACTAGATGAAAACTTAATAGCAAAACTATACTCCATAATGTCAACATCGATCCTACCCTATGTCCAGCATCTTCCCCTCACAGCTAAAATCTAGCAAATTATTGTAAAATTGCTATAAACCGTGAATCATTTGAGAGTAATCCAGCTAGAAAATGAACTCCATCATCTCTTAATGAATAATCAGGCAATGAAACAATATATGTCTAGTGTCGAAAGCAAAGTCGATAATATCACGGTCGTAGGTAAAAATTTGGACATTGAAGACATTATTTTGTATGCACTCAATGGAGACCCAACACCCTACCAAACTTCAAAATAGCAATTTGAACTCAATTTCACTAAATTGATGTGGATGATCTCTACTCACTTCTTTGAATGAGAAGATCAACTTAGCTATTGACACTTAGAAACTAACGAAATCTTTTCATTTCAACTTTCTTTCACAACTTCTCAAGTTTGCAATTCTCTACTGCTAAGGGTCGTGATAGAGCTCGGCATAATTATCGATATATAGGTGATCAAAGAACATCTAGATTCCATGTGACAAGCCAAATATGTAGCAAATTCGGTCACTCATCCACTACTAGCTAGCATTGGTCCTACCTTAAGTTCATCCCTCCGAAACTAGCGTTATAAAGATCTATTTCCTTGATTACAGTGCTAAAACACACCTCACTTCAGATTTCAACCTCAAAAAATTAGCTACTCTGACTACCGGAGCTGAAAAAGTTATTGTGAGCATTAGACAATCTATTCATGTTGACATACGGGTGCTGGTATTTTTCTAATTCCTCACCGTAAGCTTCTTTTACGTAACATTAGGCATGCTCCACTTTTTTCTTCCAACTCTTCTAAGTTCACTAATTGATTCACAAAAATAATGCTGTTATAATTTTTTAAATTAATGGATTTTCTATCTTTGATCTAAAGAAGAAACAACCTTCACTCTGAGGCACCATCTATGAAGACTTTGTTGACCTCATTTTTGGTTGAGGTTTAGTTTTCTTTTTCTTTAGTAGCCTAGGGTCTAGCCATAGGACATTCCCTGTTGACTATTCCTAGAAAACTAGACTTGGAACCCTCACCATTAGAAATTCTACCCTCTTGTTTACTCAACCTGGAGTTCCACATATTGCTCCCAACCTTTATATACTTAGTAGGTGGGGTCACTGTGGGGGAAACTCAGGATGAGTCACCCTTAGGATTGCTGGACCTTAGGGTTGACCTTGGGTGTTGGTCTGGAGCTAAGGCACTCACTACACTTAGCTGCACTTACAATCACTCACAACCCTGAACTCAAATTTCTAGCCTAGATCCCTTGATCTTTTGGGATACTCATGTAGATGGTCCCCTAAATCTACTAGCCCTA